GAAGATGACCCATATGCGTTTTTACAAAGTTGGGTGTTTGTGGTGTTAGCATAAATTAGTAATACCCACCCACTCGCGATCCGCTCAGAGACCGATTCCAACAAAACCAACAATGATTCCAAGTAGATCTCGATGAGCTCTATCGAATGGACACCTTCTGAGCTCAAATCGGTGCATCCATCGCTGAGAAATCAGCCAATAGGCCCCAGAACAGGGCTTTTCTCCTGGAAAACCTATTACGATTCGACCAGTGACTGATTCCAACAAAATTAACGATGGTTTCAAGTAGATCTCGATGAGCTCTATCGAATGGATACCTTTTGAGCTTAAATCGATGCACCTATCGATGAGAAATCAGCCAATAGGCCCCAGAACAGAGCTTTTCTACTGGAAAACCTATCACGATTCCATCAAGAAATAAGCAAAGTGCTTTCTGATTTTACAAAGCACCATCAAGGTACTGTGTGTTTTCCAACAAAGTGCAAAACACAGTACTTTTTCAAAATCGTAAGTACCTCGGATACTTTGCTTTTGCTCGAGGTACTTAATGTTCGAAACACTGCTTTCGTCCTCCCATTCTAATATATGGAAACATATGCTCCACTGAAACTTTTTTCTTTCCTCCACATATATTTGACTGGCACTGCATTACGATAGTACTATTACATTGAACACTAGCGCGCTCTCTCTTCGAATCATGACAATCCGATAAAAAAAATTTCTGAATCACGCGTAAGTCACCAATTTTCTCATTAGGCCTTTACCAATATCGAGCGAACACCGTATGCAATTGAAAGAGTTCGCTGATTCCTACTAGGAATCAGTGTAGGTTTTGTTGAAATCGGTCCATGGATGAATCGTAATAAGTTTTCAGGAAAAAAACTCTCATTCTACGTCTTGTTGGCAGATTTCTAAGCGATATGTGCATCTATTTGAGCTCGAAAGGCGCCCATTCGATAAAGCTCATCGAGATCTACTTGAAACCAGCGCTAGTTTTGTTGGAATCGGTCACTGGGCGAATCGTGATAGGTTTTCCAGGAGAAAAGCCCTGTTCTGGGGCCTATTGGCTGATTTTTCAGCGATGGATGCATCGATTTGAGCTCAAAAGGTATCCATTCGATAGAGCGCATCGAGATCTACTTGAAACCAGCGTTGGTTTTGTTGGAATCGGTCTCTGAGCGAATCGCGAGTGGTTTTGGTGTCGTTGTATTGTTTTTTCTTGTTTTTTTTTGCGGAAAAAACGAGTTTTGACTAGTAAGATTTGTTATTTTTCGGAAAAAAACTAGTGCGTTGAATAGAGCTCATCGAGTTCTACTTGGAACCAGCGTGAACTCAGTTAGAATTGGGCGTCTCGCGAATCGCGAGAGGAAATACTCGAATCCAGACCTAGGATATCCTATGTATTGAAATTCTATTGTAGAGTTCCAATTCTTCTCATTTTAAATTTTGATATTTGTTCATTCTCAAGCTGGAAAATATCGGTCTTTAAAACTTCATTTTGAACATGCTCATGAAGGTTAAAATATTTCTATGAAAATACAATAGAACAGCATGCTTTCAACACGTTAATAACTGTTTTACGATTCGGATTGTTCTGCATTTTATCAGTAATACTTCAAAATTTTCGTAGCACTAGCAAAAAATAAACAATAAGAGCAAAGAAAGTTTTGATGTATGGAAGAGATTTGAATATCGTCAAATAGAAAAACAATCGAAATTCAAAATATTGAATTTGAAAAATCTATGTTTTCGATGAGGAACACATTACACTTATTAGATCATGAACGTCTAAAATCGATTATTTTTTTAAAACTTATTAAAAACAGTGATTTTCTCGATGGATATAGAAATTGAAAAGCCGTTTTTAGAAAGCCTACTAGTGCATATTCTGGTTTTTGTTAAGAACGCTTTGTGGATAATCTTGATTTCTTTTCATACCATTTTATTTTCATATCTTATTTCTATATAAAACAACCTTCGTTATACATTGCTTCGGTCGAATACTAATGATAGGCCTTTCAAGAGATAGATTGAAAAAACAACAAAATAAATGCAAAATTTAGAAACCTGATTGATTTACGCTCGTAAACAATTCAGAGATATATCTATTAGTGTCGAGCAATGCAGATGAACTTACTATATTATCTTTCGTCAATGGCAATTTTAATCTACGAACAATTGCTGAACCAATATTGTCGAATTGTTTATGAGTTGGATAGCTAAATACAAGAAAACAAAATGCAATAAATAATCAAATTTAGAGAATATGTATTCAATCATTTATTCATACAGCTCTTTTTATTTATAAAGAAGAACAGAGCCAGTGTTGATTGCTCTGTTTGGAACAAGATTAATGTAAATATGGACGCAAGAAAACTCACACCTTGTTAAAATTTGGAAAGATTGAAATAATGTCAATCATGTAAAAAATTTTCATTATTTCAAATTGTTTTCAACAATACTCGGTTCTTTTTATTCATGCAAATAATTCTATTGTGTACTGTACACGAATGTACGTGTGCATACTTTCATACGAATAACAGCTTTTCTACTTGAAAAATTTTGCGGATACATCAGTAGAAATTCAACTATTTTCTAAATCTTGTTTTCAATGAAATCATATGCAATATATCAAACATTAAAGGAATCAAAAAAACAATATTAAAAATAATAATATTTATATTAGTAATTTCGACTTGTATTCATCGAAAAAAAACACTTTACAAAGAGGTATCTAGCGAATACTTAAGGAGAAAAACATTTATATGTAGGTTATATCTATATAGATAGTTTACGCGTTAACGTAACTTACAAAAGGTGGTATTTTTCGATCAAGTCGTGGGTTATTATATCAATTAATATTTGACGATTTGTATGATGTGGACCAAATTTATGTAACGCACCTGTTTCTATATCTTGAAGCAAGGAATTTAGTAATGTTGGAATTATATATACGTCGGGAAAAAGTAAGTTCATTTCTTGTTTGGCTGGTGCTTCGTTTAATACATGATCGTTTGTATCATCATTCGTGGAAGAATTAATTGGTAATTCAACAAGAGATGAAGATGGATTAAAATTTGTTGGAGTACCTGATGATGAATCAATACTTGAAATTGAATTATTACCATTGGCTCTAAATAATTTTTCACGTTTCTCTAAAAACAATAATTGTTGTTTTAACTTTGGAAATAGCGTTGTTATTTTTTCGATGCTGTCCATCATTTCAATTGTCCCTTGTAGTAAAAACCGGAAGAAAACCGGCGGTTAACCGCGGTTTTCCTGGTCCGGTTACCGGCTACAATCGCTACAATTTACCGCGATTTATCGCTAAAGTGAACCGGTTAACCAGTTCGCCAATGATCATGGACATTTAGTTGCTCCAAATCATCGATTTTGGTATTTTAAATGTTTTTTTCTTGCACCTTCTCATGTCATAAGAATGCTCGAAAAAACCGCCGGTTCATCATGGTTTTAGCGATCCGGTTACCGGCTCTTGTTACTGCAGTTTGCCGCGGTAAACCGCCGGTTTTGATAAATACCGCGGTTTACCGCTAAAAACTGTCCGGTATTTACGATATGGAGGGTCCGCTGTACATAACAAAATTATTTTATTCCGCGAATCTACAAGCAATGAGCATTCTAAATATCGTTATTTAACCATTGAAAAAAACAATAAAATCTTTTATAAACATAGTAGAATAATTTTATCCATATGCGAAAAATAATAAACCCTTTTCATGTAAGCGTAGAATTATCTACACTTACATGAAGAATGATAAACCATTTTCATGTAAGCGTAGAATAATCTACTCTTATACGTACCATCATAAACCCTTTTTATGGAAACGTAGAACAATCTACCCTTATATGAAAAATCATAAATCTTTTCCATGTAAACGTAGAACAATCTACCCTTATATGAAAAATCATAAATCTTTTCCATGTAAACGTAAAATAATCTATCGGTAATGTAACGATTCGTAACGGTAGGTTACGAAAGCCCTGTAAAAATTCATAAAAAAGCAGGGCTTTCGTATCAAATTTTGACAGGGTTTTCGTATCAAAACTTTACAGGGCTTTCGTATCGTTTTTACAGGGCTTTCGTATACGTTTTGACAGGGCTTTCGTATCAAGAATTTACAGGGCTTTCGTATTATTTCTACAAAGCCTTTCTATCGATTTTACAGAGCTTTCGTATGGATTTTTACACAGCTTTCGTACCGTTCTTATAGAGCTATCGTAACGAAAAGAGTGTGGGTTTGGGTGTGTGGGTGTGGATGTGGCTATGGATGGATAGAAGAGGAAGACCTACATCCACACCCACACCCACCCACCCACACCCACCCACACCCACCCACACCCACACCCACACACCCACATTTTTCATCGATTTCACCATCAGTACTGCTAGTGGTGGTGATTTTGTTAAAACCACACTTGATTTACAAAGGACAGAGAGAAAACATCTATTTATTTGCTAATGGTCAATCTATTACTCCATTGTTTTTAACGATGTAATCTCCTGTTCAGCCATAGAAATATAGCGACACCTATAAATGTATACAGATGATTAACTCACAGGATAGCACTACCTATTTGGACCATATAGGTATATAACATTTGTTACAGATGAATCACATCTACTGACTTCACAGATATTTCGAAGAAAGAGTATTCGCAACGAATACCCTGTTGTTTAAAGAATATTAGCCTTTTTGTCCGGTTATGAATGCGATATAGAACTTAGTTACGAAAGTCCTGTATATATTTGATACGAAAACCCTGTATATTTTTTATACGAAAGCCCTGTCAAAATTCGATACGAAAGCCCTGTCAAAACCGATACGAAAGCCCTGTATTGTTTTTGATACAAAAGCCCTGTAAACAAAATAACAACAGGGCTTTCGGGTTACGAAAACCCTGTCAATTTTTTCGTTACGAACTGATACGCCCCCAATCTACCCTTATGAGTAGAATAATAAATCCTTTTCATGTAAGCATGTAATAATCTATTCTTATGCGAAAAATAGTAAACCCTTTTTTATGGAAACGTAGAATAATCTACCTCTATATGAAAAATAATAAACCCTTTCCATGTAAGCACAGAATAAACTACTCCTATAAGTAGAATAATAAACCCTTTTCATGCAATCGTAGGATCATCTATTCTTATAAGTAGAATAATAAACCCTTTTCATGTAATCGTAGAATAATCTACCCTTATAAATAGAATAATAAATCCTTTTCATGTAAGCGTAGAATAATTCGCCCCTATAAGTAGAATAATAAACCCTTGTCCCTAAATTTCAACTTAATAAACCCTTTTTATTTTCATATACCCTTGCTTTCATAAACCCTTAGGCTCCTAAACCCTTGAAGGGTTTAGGAACTCGTGATAAACCCTTTAAGGGTTTATGAAAAATTGCAGATAAGGCAAGAATTTAATATTCTACGCTTTTTTTTTTACAGTGCACACCGACACCCACACCCACACCTATACCGACACCCACACCTCACACCCACACCCACCCCACACCCACACCCACCCCACACCCACACCCATTTGATCCTAATGTTTTGGCTTTTGTATATACACACTATGATCTTTCAAACTAAATATCAAAGATCAAAATTTAAATTTTAGCTCCGGACGGATTGGTGTACAGTCTGGCGAAGCCTCTCTTAAGTGCTAAGTAATTTATTGAACATAAATCTAAGTAAAAAAAAAAGAATTTTTGCTAAGTATTTTAATTAAATTCTCAATGAAAAAGTTTCATATGATGTCTTCTGAGAATATCCCCGGAAACTCGATTATGTCCTAGGGTAAGAGGTATATAGATATATAGGTATAGGAGGTATAGAGGTATAGAGGTATAGGAGGTATAGAGGTATAGAGGTATAGGAGGT